GTGGCTGGAGCAGCGTCGTCTCCAAGCACCCCCACTGTACGCAGCGGGAGTTGCGGGGAGCACCGCGCGGTCCTCCGCCGACAGCAAAGGCCCAGCAGTTGAGGCCGAGCTGAGTAAGGCATTGGACTTGTGTGACCAAATCCAAGGGGCTTTGAGCCAATCAAGCCAACAACCGAAGCCTCCATTGACCACTGAGGTCGTGGACGAAAGGCCCGAAGAAGAACGCGATGACAGACCCACAACAGGTCATCGGCGAAATGCAGCTGAGGATGGATGCTCTAGCGAGTCAGATGCAAGCGCTGAATATCGCCCATCAGAGCCAGGCGCAACAGAACGCCCAGCTGCAGCAGGAAAAGCAAGAGCTGGACCAGCGCCTGACAGGCGTTATGGCACTATTGCAGCAATCCTTGCAGCAGACCGCGAACGTAGGCGTCGCCCAAGGGCAAGTTCCCCCGCTCCAGAGCGCGGGAACACCCGCCGGAAGCAGTAAGCCGGTCAATCATATTGACGTGCTCAAGTCTGTGAAGCAGCCTCAATCCTTAAAGGATCGAGACCAATGGGAACGGTTCAGTTTCCAAGTAGAAACATACTTGGCTTTGCTGGACGAAAACTTTCCAGCAGACTTGGACAATGCACGCAAGCTCACCAGTTTTGTGGATCCAGTCGATATGACTGATGAAGCCAAATCCCGAGGGAGGCAATTGTTTGCAATGCTGAACTCGTGGACTCAAGAATTGGCAGTGGCAAGTAAGATTGCCCGTGGCATTCGAGACCAAAATGGTTTTGAGTTTTGGAGACTGTTGTGGCGTGAAATGGCCCCAGACAATCACTCCAAGAGTTTGATCTGGCGGCGCTCGTTGCTCAGTCCCAAGTTTCCTGCAAAGGAAGCAGAGTTTTCAGCGGCACTCCAAGAGTGGGAAGCTGACCTTGACAAATATGAGGCCGAATATGGTCCCAGTAAGGCCATCAGTGATGAAGACAAAAGAGCTGTGGTCCTTACTTGAAGCAACACCTTTCCATGCACATTGGAACCCTTTCCACGTATCAGTCTGTGCGTGAGCTGGTGGTGTCCTATCTGCAAGCAAAGCAGGTTTGGAGGCCATCAGCCGCGTATGCGGGAGCCGCCGCACGCACAAGAGATCCAGATGCCATGGACATCAGCCTTGTCGGTGATGGCAAAGGAAAGGGGAAAGGAAAAGATGGCAAGGGAAAGGATAATAAGAAGGGCAAAGGAAAAGAGGCCAAAGGAAAAGGGAAAGACTGCCACAACAACAAAGGTGGCAAAGGTCAACAGGAGAAGGATCGTTGCGCCATATGCTGGAAAACCGGCCGTACCATTGAGAAGTGTTGGTTCAACTCAAAAGGCCAACCAAAGGGGAAGGGCAAGAAAGGAGTTGCAGGTATCACTGAAGACAATGCGTCAGTGATCTTTGCAGGGCCATCTGCATCTCAAGTTGGTGGTCAAAGTGTAATCACCCTTCCATCCACGACCACTTGCAACAAAGGGAAGAACGTTGGAATGATCGGGGAACACCGACTTCTCATGGTCAAGGCCACCAGCAGCGGGCAACACCGCCATGTTTCACCAAAAACCATTTTGGCCATACCAGAAGGTGGAGGAATCTCTACTGGCAATGCCATTTTGGCAAAGGAATCTCTTGTATCCAAGTTGGAAGCAATTTTTGCCTATCGAGACCAACCTGGATGGCACGACCCTGATCCCAACACCAAGGTATACAGCGGCATTGGTACCGGCATACCACTCGCATACGTCGTGATCACACCTAGTATGGGTTAGTGCGGCTCTTGTTTGTGGTGAAAGGCAAGAATGGTGCCACACGAAAGTATGCTACACCAGGGTCACAGTATCCTGGCTACACGTTTAGGTCAACGTGGCAGTGGAATGAAGAGTCCAACGCCTGGGATTGCAAGGAGTTCAGAAAGAAATGGAAGCTCCTGCATGAGCCACACGAAACGTTTCAAGGCACCAGGGTATGGGCACTTCAAGTCTTCCAAAGAAGTGACACTGCACGAGTGGCCAAGGTTGCCAGCAGAGGCACACTGCTGGTGGACACAGGAGCCTGCTCTTCAGTCTGTAGACCTGAGGCTTTTCCAAGTGCTCTCTTGGACCCCAACGCCGTTGAGGAACTATACACGGTGGATGACACTCCACTGAAGGCGTGCGGGGAAATCCGCCCTCAGCTCAGGCTTGGAGACAAGCTCAAAGAAGAAGCTCAAGTCACCTTCCAGGTGGTTGAAGGTGTGAACGAAAACATCCTGTCAGTCAACAGGGCATTGGACATTGGAGCCAGTGTCCACTTTGAAAGTGACAACTGCTACATCCAATGGGCAGATGGCAGGAAAGCCACGTTTGCCAGGCAAGGCAAACAGTTTCTCCTTCCGTTTGAAGAGTTGGAGCAACCTACCACCAGACATGGCAAGGTGGCAGCCATCGATGAAGATGCAATGGCAGTTGAAGCCTATGCCATGCAAGAGGATGAAGAAGCCGAGGCAGTGCAAGAATATGCCAGGCGTGAAGAAGAAGTGAGAAAGGCCAAGGAGCTTCTGGAACAAGACCCCGGTCTCTTGGCAGACCTGGAGGAAGAAGCGGAAACCCCGCCACCTGTGGAGCCAGAGGGGTTGTCACAACCCATAAGCCCCACTGAGGCGCAGGTGGAATCCCATCGCCTTACACACCTACCGTTTCAACCATGGTGTGAAGAGTGCGTGTCGGGTAAGGCCAAACAAGATTGGCATAGGAGGGATCAATCCTCAACGCGTGAGGGAACAGGGTTGATCCAAATGGATTATTTCTTTCTCTCTCCTGAGAAGGAGGAAGAGGTTGAAGATGAGTCAAGGCTGGTCACAATCCTGTGTCTGACTGACACGGTGACAGGTTGGCCGCTGGCACTTCAACTTCCCAACAAGTCAACCGAGATAGCCCAGTCCAGGTACTGTCTGCAAAATGTGGACCTCTACCTGAAGAACCTTGGGTACAGCAAAGTTATTCTGCAGCATGATGGCGAGCCCTCAATCAGAGCACTGGCTGAGTCAATCCAAAGACATGTTGGATCCAGCCGAGCCTCTGTGCGGGAGTCTCCGCCCAAGCAGCACCAATCACAAGGAGCTGTGGAATCCATGAATGGGTTTGTAGCAAGCCAAATCCGAGCTTTATGGCTCGACGTCAGGAAGCGGTATCCTTCCTTGGACGTGTCCAGCAACTTGACACCGTGGCTTGTGCGCCACGCGGCATGGCTGATAGCACGTTTCCATGTGAGAGGAAAAGATGGGCTCACGCCCTACCGCCTGACAACTGGCAGCGACTACTCACACCCAGTCGCCATGCTAGGCGAAGTAGTTCTAGGAAAAGTACCGACCCCGAGGGGCAAGATGCAGCGAAGGTGGATCAAAGGCATATGGCTAGGTAAGCTGGACAGAGACGACAGCAATGTGCTCGGCACGTCGTCTGGGGCAATCGCCGTGAGATCGGTGAGAAGACTGCCAAAGGAATCACAGACCAGTCAAGAGTTGATGAACGACATGAAAGGAATTCCTTGGCAACCCCGCGACGGGATGAGGCACAAGATCAACAGAGAGCTGTCACAGCCAGTGGCACTCCCAGCGCCAGCCGCAGCGGGTCCCACCGCGCTGGCATCAGAACCCCCAGAGGAAGAACATCCGACACTGGCAGAAGACGGTCAAAACGTTGACCAAGATGGGTTAGTCGTGCAAGCCGCAGCCCAGCTGGAAGACCTACTTGGCGACCAAGCCGAGGACTTCCCAGCGGGTATCCCCGCGGACGACGACGACGCACTCAGCTGCGTGCCCACCACGCCAGCAAGATCTGAAGCTGCAAGAAGCCACCAAAGAAGTTCTGCATCCCCAAAAAAAACAAAAAAACACAAAAACTTACTTCCGGCAGAAAGGGTCCCAACCACAAGAGCACGACCCGGAGGGGAAGAAGAAGAAGGGAAGAGGGGCGGGAGGGGAATCGGAGGCGCACAACCACAAACAAAAAAAAAACAGTGACTTAGGAGCCCACCGGACCCGAACACCGACTGACCCACCGTAACCGCCCACGCACGACTTGTAACAAGGAGGAGCGAGTAACCCGGGTGAGAGCAGCGCTTGCACCCGGACAAGCTGAAGCCAAGCAGTCCAGGCAAGCAGGTATCTTGCAGCATTTAACAAATCACGAGATCTGGTCCCATATCCAAGAATGGGCCAACTCCGAAGACAAAAGCAATCCAATGGCTTTGCAAAGGAGAGCCAATGTGACGGATTTCGTCGACCAATTGCTCGACCCAGAGGAAGTCACCAAAGCGCGGAAAGTCCAACTTCAAAAGCTTTGGGAGCGAGGTGCCTTCACACCCGTGCACCGCCAAGAAATCCCAAAAGGTTCACAAATCTTCTCACACAAATGGGTTGACAAGTGTTCCAAAGGAGCATACAAGTCGCGTTTCACATGTGCTGACGTCAAGGCTCGCTACACAGCAGCCGAGGAGGAGGGATTGGACGTGTTCGTTCCAACTCCTACCCCAGAAGCGCACAATCTTCTGGAGGTCTATGCTCTGACAAAGGGTTACTACGCCCGAAGCCTGGACATCGTCGCAGCCTTCTTGATTGGAGCTGACCGAGGAGCCAGCGAAGGAAAGCATGTCTACATGCGTGCACCAGTTGAGTGGCACGACATCTTCCTTGAGTGGCTAGAAACTCTCAGCCCCGAATGAAAGGATTGGTACAAGGAATCGTTCAAAGAACTTTTCTTCAGGTTGGATGGAAACCTATACGGCAGAAGGACAGCCGGATCCGTCTACAGAAATGAGCTGGAGGAAATCCTCTGCTCAAAGGTTGATCCACAGCGGTATTCTTTCTCTCGTGGTGAGAAGGATCCATGTGTCTTCCGTTGTGACAAGTCAGGGATCATCCTGATTCACCACATAGACGACATCCGTATGGCTGGACCAAAAGAGGCTGTCAACCACCTGGTTGAAGTCGAAATGCCGAAACACTGTGAGGTCCAAGCAGGAGAGCTCGAAAGCGAAGGAACAGCTGTTGAGTACCTGGGTCGCACCAAGGTACGAACCAAAGATGCTATCATCACGATACCAGATGAGAAGCACATCAAAGCTGTCATCGCTGCTGCGGGAATCTCCGCCAGAGACCGCAGTGAGGTTCCTTCCAAACAACTGAACCTCTTAGAAACGGAGCCTCTTGGCGAGGCAGATGCCAAGCTGTATCGCTCGGCAGTAGGATCAGCGATATACCTGTCGCTGGACAGGAGGGAGATCCAGTACGCGGTGAAAGAAGCAGCGCGACACATGTCGCAACCGCGAAAATGTGACATGCAAGCCGTCAAGACCCTTGCGGCATACTTGCAGTCGCACCCACATGTTGGCCGAGTCACAACCTGTGATCCCAACTGTAGCTCAGAGCGGCCATGCGAATTGTATAGCGATTCGGATTGGGCCGGATGCCTAGAAACACGGCGAAGCACCGACTGTTACATAGCAGCTGTGTGTGGTGCAATCGTCGCATGTGGCACACAGACCCAACCGGACCTACCAGCGACAAGTTCGCCGGACGCAGAGCTCAGGGGAGTTTCGAGGGCAGCTCGGGAAGCCATCTTCCTCAAGGAGCTGATCACCCGAGATTTTGGCCAGCAGTGCGGTAAGCCCTGCCTATGGACGGACAGTTCATCGGCAATGCAAGCTTCCAAGCGCATTGGACCAGGTTCCAAGCTCAGACACCTAGAAGTCTGTGAGTTCTATGTGCAAGGAGCTTTGCAGTCCAAGCAGATAGCCTTGGGCAAGATCAAGGGCACCGTGAATTGTGCCAACTTCCTCACCAAGCATCCAAAGAGTGGAACGGAAGTAAGGCAAGCAATGCCTGGTTTAGGCATGTATGAAGCTCGTGACGGAGAAGATATGCTCTCTTCGAGCAAGAAGATCTCTGTCAAGGTCTCAACCGTGACCAAGCAGCATGCGTGGAAGACTCCTACGCCAGCTTGTGTTGGATGGATCAAAGACCAAGATCGAGCGGGAAGAACCGCCACGGCCTATCGGCAAAATGGACAACTGGTCGGGTGCATCAAGGCACTTGTTGTCCTGAGCCAAGTTCAGGCTGTGGCAGGGCAGCCAACATACTGCCTGTCCCCATACGAATGGTATGCATTGTTTTTCTTGGCCGCAATCGGCACGTGTGTGCTGATATGGAAACTGGCAGAACAGTTCATCGCTTGTTGTGTGGACTGGTTATGTCCAATCGAGCCAGTAGCACAAGAAACAGGCCATGAGGTGCAATTGCACATCCAAGATCAGCAGATCACCTTGCGACTCAGGGTGACTGCCATCAGAAACAATCAGCAGCTAACGCTGACCAATCCAGCGCCAGCGGCAACCCCGCGGTCAGAGCCGGCGGCAAACCCGCGGACACCAGCGGTAGCCCCGCGGTCTCCTGAGGAACTTACCCCTCGAGGGATCGAGAGGTGGCATGAGGAACGTTGGGTCCAAGAAGCCGCAGAGGCCAGAATGACCATGCAGGAGTTGATCGACTGGCGCAACCAAGAAGAGTCTCTCCTACGAGGAGAGCATCCCGGCGGCATGTCGGACCCCCAGGACTCTGAGTCAAGTGAGTCCGAGGCGGCACCAGCCAGCGCGGGCAGCACCGCTGAACATCGGGCAGCTCCGCCTGAGCGGGCAGACCCGCCGACCCGGGAACCGGAAAGCGAAGCCGATGCAGCCAGCATCGAGCGGAGCGACCCGTTCGCCCATATGTCTCCGGCAGAATTCGAAGAATGGAGACGGGCTGAAGACCGGTTCCTGGGGATGTAGGGACGTCTCACCAGTAGCGTCTCACTCCGACAAGTCCACTCTAAGGAGGGTGGCAACTTGCTAGGGGTAAAACACCTAGTTCAGAACTAAGTAGCTAGCTAGGAGTAGAGATGTCATGTCATGTAAGACACTTGACGTGACCGCAGCCCCTTTTTAGCACATCCGTGCTACTCGAGGAAAAAGTGAGGTGACCGAGTCAACAGTACTGTGTTGTCACCACCTGTGTTTTTGAGCCCAATACGCACCCACCGTGTAACTTCGCTGTTTGCAAAATGAGAAAGGAAAAGTATACAGGCAAAAACAATAAGGGCAAGTCCAAGGGCAAGAGTTGGTTGAGTTTTGGTAGCTATGGATTTTCTGGCCGTGGACGAGGATGCGGCAAAGGTCGTGGCAACAAAGGCAAAGGCAAGGGTAAGGAGAAAGGAACGTCAAAAGGAAAACCAAACGACAGTGGAAAGAAAGGTGGCCAAAAAGGCAAAGGAATAGATTCCCAACAATGTCGTCTATGACTTGAGTATGGTCATTGGAGCAGGGAGTGTCCCAACAGGATGACAAACCAGGTCATCAACAATGCAACTCCTGCACAACAACCTCAAACTCAAGGACAGCAACAACAACAAACTCAAGGTGGAACACAACGGCGTTCCTATGCATAGAGCAGTTATCCTCCATCGAACCCTACGGCAACAACAATCAGAAGGATCTATGGCATTCCTGCAAGTATGGCTTCGGGATCATCAGTGCGCATGGTTTTTGAGAACTATGTGAAGGACGAGAAAAATGTGGTCATTTTAGACAGTCGTTCAGATGTTTCTCTTCCACCTCTCTCCTATGGTGGTGGCGTTGACGGACCAGCAGATGATGCTCAAGTACAACTGCGTGATTGCCAAGGACAAGAACTGAAGGTTGCTATCCTCAGCTTGGGTCAACTCGCAACAATGGACCGGTTTTGGAATCGCCGGATCATGCCCTGCGTCTCCCAGTTTTCTTCGTCAGAAACTCTCTTGCAATCAAAACTGAAGTTTATCGAGTGGAAAAAACCAATGTGGATCTACCTGATTCTTTGATGGTGCGTGCCGTGGTGGAGATGGAAGACAAGTTCAGGCCAAAAGTTTTGCGCTACAATCGCTGGGCGACCAATGTGGATGGCAACCCCTATATGCGCAGTGTTGGGGAAAACTTCATTGACCCTACTTTGGTTTGGCCTGCTATAGTTAATTATCGCAGGTCTACATCAGATGAAGATCATGGATGGTGCGTGGTTGAAATCAGTCGCAGATTTTTGGAGCTGGACGACCCCTTTGGTCGAATTGCTGAAATCGAGGCCTATGCGAATGGAGAGCCGGTGACAATCCTGACAATTTTGGCGAAGGAGAACCAGAACCTTAGCTTTTGGTGGATTGTTTGATCATGCTTGATCAAAGGTGGACAACACCTTGAAGTCGTCTACGAACCTGGAACTCCTCTTGGATCAGATGCCAGTGGTGACGAAGTTCAAGGAGCAGACATTGGTGATGCAGTTCGAGATGAAGACATTCAGGGCAGAAAAATCCCTGAGTTCCAACAACTTGGACCTGCACTGCATGAAGCAGAATCGGCAAACACAGTGGTAGTTGGAGAAGAAGAATTGACTGCAAGCAGTTCAGTCGAGAAGTTGAGAAGAGCAAAATTCTTGAAGGTGTCAGCATCAGGTTCCAAACAGAAGATCTTCACCAAGGTCAAGGAGGACCACTTTACTGCACTGAAGATGCAAGCGTTGGAAGTTGCACGACAAGAATATGAAACTCTGGATCCAAGACCTCGATTCACAGATGCACCAAAACAACCAAGTGCTGCGGAGAGAAAATTGCAAGGGGTGACCCATTTGCCATTTCGTGCTTGGTGTGCATTTTGCGTACAAGCCAAATCCAGAGGGTACCACAAGCATCGGTCAACACCAGATGAAAGGGCAACGAGAACCTTTCCTACAGTTCAGGTTGGCCTCTTTGCCATGCCGAACTACATGGGCGTACTCCTGATGGTCGATGTCTGGACCAAGTATGTTGGTGTCGAACCTCTGCGTAACAAGAATGCTGGTGTGATTGGTGCAATCCTGGCTCGATTCCTTTCCAACCTTTCCTACTTTGATGCTGTGGAAGTTAGCTACGACAATGAACCAGTTTTGAGCGCAGGTGTCAGCATGACCCATGTGATCCGTTCCACCCAAGGACTCCCGATGACGCCTCAACCTGGAAAGATGTACTCCAAATCCCGCACAAGTTTGGCAGAGAGAACAATCCAAACAGTCAGAACGCAAGGAAAATGTTTGGTTGCATTCCTGGAGGGCAAGATGCAGATGAAGATTCCAGAGGATCATGTGTTGCGTGGATGGGCAATGGTTCATGCTGGTTGGTTGCTGAATCGTTGTCATCTGACTTCAGGAAATGGTGTGACTGCCTACATGGCTGTGCGGGGACGTCGTTACAAAGGTCGAGTTTGTGCATTTGGAGAAGAAGTTTACACTTTGGATTCTCTTCGAAAGACATATCAATGTCAATGGAGAAGAGGATGTTGGATGACAAAGGATGAAGCAGACCATGACATTGTGGTGGTTGGTTCCCGCGAAGTTCTGAGGAACAAAACTGTGAGGAAAAAATCAGAGCATTGGGATGCAGCTATGTTGATCAGTATGGAAGTTGGACCTTGGGATCTTCGACGTGGAACACAAACAATTCTCAAACTATCCAAACCTCTTGCACGACCTCTACCTCGTCTACATGGAGCTGAAGGTGAAGTTGAACCAGAACAAAACATTGACTTATTGACGAGGAGGCGGTGAGCAAATATGCCAAAGATCATCCAGATGACGACAAAGAGGAAGCAGGTGAACCCCTACTTCCTCCACAAGAACTTCAAGCAGTGGACAACAAACTACCTGAAATCCCTGATGCAGAATTTGAACGAATGATAGCCGAGGCAGCGAAAAGAGACCGTGAACAGGAGCTAGCACTTCCTATTGGCCTTGTCCACCTCGGAAATCTCGTGCTCTGAGAAGTCACCATCCAGCAATTGATCATTGACGTCCCAATCCCATGTTTCAAGTAGGATTTCTTCTTCAATTTCATCCTCATCATACAGCTCAATCTCCTCAGTGATTCTGCGTACATGACCAGTTGTAGTAGAGGGACTTGATGTTGCTGCCGCAGGACTTGAAATCAAATCACCTGCAAAAGTTGGGTTGAACATGCTACCAGTACGAGAGTGCTTCGCCTTCTGCTCCTCAGTCTCGGTGTGGTCAAACTTCACAAATTTTCCCTGTGTTGAAGGTTGATTTCCTGTGGGTTTTTTGACTCCTTCAGGGTCTGCCACACGCTGTTTCAAAACCAAAGAGGATTCCAAAATGAGAATGCAGGACCTCCTCAAGTTAGCGCTGAAGAGCTGGCTTACCTAGACAAACAGGCCATGTACGCTGAGTTGGAAAGATTGAGACAATTGGAAGTCATCAGTGATGTGCAAGCTGGTTTGGACGTGCCTCAAACTTTGCGTTTGGACACGAAGCTGGTGAGAGATTGGAGTTTCAGGCAAGGGTGTTGGACAAGAAGGGCAAGAATGGTTGCGAGAGAATTCAGAGGACAAAGCGCATCAACAGAGGAGACATTCAGCCCTACTACACCTTTGGTTTTGGTGAAAGTCTTCATGGTGATCTCACTGGTGCAAAAGTTGATGATGTCTGCATTGGATGTCAGTGATGCATTTCTTCAAGTTTGGCAGAAGGAAAACGTGGTGGTTTCAGTACCCAATTGGGTGAGAGTGGCAGCAAATGACATCAGCCTGATGTTTTGGCAACTTCGAAAATGCCTGCCAGGTCAACGCGATGCAGCTACGAGGTGGAACGACCACTTGACACAGTTGCTGGAGGAGCTGAACTTTGTAAAGAGCTATCTTTTGACATCGTGAACGAGAAATCTTCATTTCTGCTCACATTGATGATTTGCTTTTGGTGGCAAACAAGGAAGACACAGAGGACAGAGGAGATCTTCAACAAGCTTTCAGAGAAGTTGATGCTGAAGAAAGGTGGACCTTTTGGTGCAAACCTCACTGTGTGCGCTGAGACAACTTGGGCGTTACCTGGTGCAAACCCAGGACATGAAGATGCACTACCCAAAAACTGAATATTTCACCTCTACGTTGACTCGGTGGAATGGTGTTGATGAAAGGCGTGATGGAAAACCTTATGAGGTTGAGCTCTACAGTGGCAGCGATTGGGCAAGTTGCAAGGTGACGAGAAAATCGACGTCATCAGGCCTCATCTTCGTGAACTCATGCTGTGTGCGCAGTCACAGTCGTGCACAGATGTCAGTTTCCCTCTCCTCAATGGAAACTGAAATTCTTGCAGCCACGAGTTTGCTGGTGGAAGATGTTCAGTTGAAACAACTACTTCAATTCCTTCCTGGAGACGATGGTGGACTGAGCAACAATGCTCAAGTGCAAATGAGACTGCGATTGGATCCAACAAGTGCCCAAAACTTCTTCAATCGACTTGGACCTGGTCTAGCAAAACATCTTTCAACACGAATCCTTTGGAGTCAACAAGCGATGAGAAAGAAATGGTTTCTGGTGGAGCGCATTTCTACAAAAGAGAATCCTGCTGATTTGAATACAAAACCTGGATCCAGAGATCGCAGAGAATACCCCATGAAGAAAATTGGATTGATGAGCGAAACTTCCAATGAGGAGAACATTGTTGGTGGAGCAAAGGTGAAACAGATCGTGCGTCTGGTGACCGCGATAATGATGGCAGGAAATCTTCAAGGATGTAAAGGCACAACATGGATGACAAGCTCTTCGTTTACTACGTGGACGCGCCCTATGTCATGGACTCCAACAGCGTGGTGGACTTTGTCAACGTTGGTGCTGATTGGATTGGTGACCTACCTGGTGAACCACATCAAGAAGCTCAAAGAAGAGATGAACAAATACAAGGAAGTTTGGTGCTCAATCAGAAGCATCATGGATCTGACTGACTGATCGAGAAGACCCTTTTGTGCAAGATGGTCTACATGATGCCCCTGGACGCCATTTCAGTGGAATTTGGAACAGCGATGAACTCAGTGAAGAGGAAAACATTGAAGATGATACCACAGTTGGAGATGCAGAAGTGGAAGCAAGCATTGAGCGGACCATTGGAGTGTTTGATGCTGTCATGGAGATGGAAGATCGCGAAGTGAACAGACCCCCAAATTTTTTCTTGGAAAATGGAACTCATGGAGCAGCAAATCCTGGAGAACATGAAGCTCGTGGAGAAGGTGGGGAACCCGCGTCAAGCAGTGGTATACATCGAGCAGTACCAGGAGACATGTTTCCTACAACTGAGGAAGGCCTAGCTATCCTCACATACGCAGTTGCTGAGATTGCTGACAGTGGTGTAGCTCGTGAAAGCGACGATGATGCCTGGCTGGAGGAAGACACAGAGACTCCAGAAAAAAGGTATCGTCGATATGTTCAAAGTGAACAATGCGAGGTATCTGACCCTGATGAATGGGTAGATATACACTATGGACCTCTCAGTTCAATGCGTTCGAGATCGAGAGCAAGGGAGACAACTCCTGGAACAACACCTGGTCGGTCGACCTACCCCAAAAACTATGCCAAAATCTCTTGCAGAAGGTCGACAACGTCGTTTGGCAGATCGAACAAGGTGTGCGATTGCTCCAGAACCTGATGATTGAAGATGACCCTTCCTACTGGTGACAATGCCAACTACTTTCAAGACCCCCGGGCAGTAGCAGTCTACTATGGTGTTGGATTGGTGCCCAGGGAGAGCGCTGCATTTGAAGACCACAGATGGGATTTGATAATGCAAGGACTAGGGCCTGAGACAGTCCTAGTACACAACTGTCGTGAACTTTCCCAATATCTGGCAGATTGCAGAGATCTAGTGGAGCGTTCCCGGCTACAACGTCTTCTACGTAGCCTACAAGCTCCACTGGTGATGTTTCAATCGAAAGAGCCACAATTGTGGATCGATGCAGCCTATCATGTTCGTGATTGGCTAGATGCTGGAAGAGATTGGAGTTTCTTTGAAGAAGGAACTACGCGACATGGTGCCCAATACGAAGAAGGTGAAGAAGAAGAAAGAGATGATGATGATGATGATGATGATGATGATGACGTGGACCCGCAAGACCTACCTCATGCAGATGATGGTGGTGGTGATCGAGATGGCCGAGAAGCTGGTGAAGGTGGCGCTTCATCGAGCGCAAGGTCTACTGAGTGGGACTACGAAGGCTGAGAGTGGATAAACATGGTAAGACACCATTGGAAGAGACAAAATGGGTTACGAACAACCCTAAGGTGTAGCAATGAAAACAGGTGGCACAGAAGGTGGAAATTGCTTAAAATCAGCAATTTCCAAGGCGGGGTATGAATTTCTAGCTAACCCTGCATCACCTGTGTAGCATCTGTTCATATCAGATGTGACAACTGCACATGCCGCTAATACCAGTGGCTCGAGTAGCTGTGGAAAAGACAGCTTGAGCGTTTTCAGAAATACATTGATGGGCATAGTAACCAAAACTTATTTTCAGAATTTTTCAGAACGGATAAAAACTGCAACCTTTTCTGGCCAATATATTGAACAGGATTTTACCTTGGACTTATCTTCATGAGGGATCAAAACTGCCACCCTGTCTGGCCAATATATTGAATAGGATCTTAACTTCAACATATCTTCATGAGGGATCACCATTGAAGAACTCAGCGGATGGTAGAAAATTCACATCAGCGTTCTGTGGTTGTATCTCGAAAGTTTCCCAATTCCAGGGTTCCAGTTTCCGAATAATAGTTTCCGAGTACAACTCCCGGTTTCTGAAAATCACTTTTTTGCTTCGCGGAGTACAACTCCCAGTTTCCGAATGCAGGGTTTCTAGTTTCCGAATACCACCTTCGAGTTTCCGAATGCCACTGTCCAGTTTCCGAATATACCACTGTCCAGTTTCCGAAGACTACTTTCCAGTTTCCGAATACCACTTCCAGTTTCCGAATTCCCTTTTCCGCATACCACCTCCAGTTTCCGAATGCCACTCGCCAGTTTTCGAATACCACCGTGACCGTGACAGAGCGTGATAAGGTTACCAAAATTCTCGGAGTTTTTGAAAATCAATCGAAAAATAAACGCTCGGAAATGCATGCAAAAATCATGGTGTCATACCGCAAATGGCATGATTGGACGCTCTGAGAGCGTGCATGCCCAAATGCATGCAAATATTTGCAACATTTTGCAGCTAGTTAACATTTTGGATCCTCAGGGGTTGCATCCTCTCGCTAAAGTTGATTTTGGCCAGATTTGTGACTTGCCAACAGTTGGCATAAATTTGGCGTTTTGAGTTGGGAACCGTTGGGATCACTTTGCTGCACGTTTGAACGGCAATTAAAACATCATTTGTTGTGACGTGTGAGGCATGGCGGACACATATGTTTCAATTTTTGATGTCCTATTTCGTTTCAAAGAAACTTGTTTGTTGACGGACATTTAATGTGATATGTGACTGAATTGGTAATTAATTAATTAATTAATTACTATCTATGGCCAATCTATTTTCAGCAACTTGTTTTGGTGTATCATTTTGTGCAGTGATGATGCTCATGATTGTTACAAATTTAAAAATAAAAATCAGTTCCCGGATTGGTTACTGCGACTTTTCTTTTGCATCCGGCACACTGCAGCCCGACCAGGCCATCAAGCAGAGAAAACATGTGATAAAAAAAACATTATACAGGCCTTTCTTGTGTCCTTTCTCACGCATGATTGTCTCCAAAACAGTTTGAGCAATCGAAGTAACAGTTTCACACAATTTTGTTCATGATCATGTTTGGCCGAATTGTGACTGGGTTGTTGCGTTTTATGCTTCGCTGCCTGAGGTTACTCAAAAAAATGATTTTTCAAAAAAGCGAACATTGCGAACACATTGCTCCGTTACCTTGTGCAGGAACCATTTCCCATCCGCACATGCTTGAATTGCTACTGCCATTGTCCCTTGTATGCGCTGCAT